GTTTGCCATTGCCTTCTTCTGTGTGTGAATGGGATGCCACGGAGAAACCGGGGAAGCCCCCGGAGGAAAACCCCGTGTTGCCTAGACCACGGCCTTGCCAAACACAAGTTATAAATTCGGGCACCGCCGGGAATGGAACCCGAGACCCCAGGATTACAAGGCCAGCTAGACCACTCATATCCTAAAATATGTATATTGTGGTCTTGTGGGTTGTAACACTGTGTGAACTTGCAGGCAGGTTCTCGTATAAAGGAATAACATACCGCCTCAATCTCGTTTCTACCCTGACGGTGTAGGCAATACGTTTCTCCGAGACGTTGGTACTTGATATTTATAGTGTTATACTGTCTTCTGGGATATTACGCGGTGTAATCTGGTGGAAGTTTGAAAACGTTTCACAGTTGCTTTGCTGCCCCTGTCATCAGCAGCTTTGAAACTTTCTTAAATTATGCCAGACTACACCGCGTAATATCGCAGAAGACAGTCATGTTCACGTTGTGTTTTTACTTAAACAAGATTTGTTTAATAATTACGCGTGTGTTAAAAACAACGTTAATACGAAATTATGGTGGTGATGTTTATTTGTCTTCTTCAAGTAGAAAGCAGGAACGCGGCACTGCGTTTTCCCCCCCCCCCCCAAACCCTCTGTGCTCTGCGTATTTACTTCTCTCTGTCTGCATGAAACAACAAGTTTTCGGATTTGCACGTGAGGAGAATTGTAATCCCAACATGGACTAGCATCACCTTCCGATCCTCGGGTTAACTCAACAGACATGGACCTGTCTTCTGGGTTGTAGCGCCGTGTAGTCTGCTGTAATTAGGGCGTTCGCCCTAATAATGGTGAAAGCAATGACCTCTGAAACGTCAGTGAACTACCAGACTACACGGCACAAGTTTACAGGAGACCTTCGCCTTCGTTCTCGCCGGCATTAAACCTAAAATCTTACTTATTAAATCTATAAGCTTCTCGAACGGAAAAATTGACTATGATTTCCTTCTTATGTTTCGAGTGTTGAAGGATCCTTGATATACGAGGTGCGATCGGAAATTTCCAGACTGCGCCTATAAAACCCCGTACACTTATCTCAGGTATTAAATTCATCCATCACCCTCGAAGTAGTTCCCCTGGGAGTGAACACAACGATCCCAGCGCCGCTGCCAAGCCTGGAAGCATCCCTGGAAATCTTTCTTTGCCAGCCTGTCAAGCACCATCTGCGATTCTGCCTGAATCTCTTCTATCGTCTCAAATCTCCTTACCTTTAGCTGAATTTTCATCTTTGGGAAGAGGAAGAAGTCACACGGAGCTTAAAAAGGAAGTTGGGGTCGGTTCTTGCAAGATCTTTGAGCTCCTGACAAACGAGAAGTCAATCGAAGATGGTTGTCCAGAACGCTCGTCATCATCGACAGAAGTTCGGCCGTTTTTAAAACGTGAATGCCACACAAAAGTTTGCGGACTCCCCAAATGCTTGCTTTAGCATTTCATAGGTTTCCGTAGCCGTTTTGGCGAGTCTTTGGCAAAATTTGATGCACACGCCATTCCGAAATCGCAGGAGGGTCGGTGTAATGCACTACCAAAACGCCCGTAACTAAGAAACAAATGCTAATTCGATGATGCCGGCTGGCACATTGATTCACTATGAATGTAGGCCGCACCCCCTAGCGGCAGAAGCTCGTACTACATCCGGTTCGCCCTGTATTGACACAGTCTTGAAACTTTCCGATCGCACCTCGTACGTGACGTGGACGAGACGCGTTCTTCGTTACCAGCGTTTCTTTGAAGCCATGAACATAATTTCCTTTGTTTTTATTCGACGGTTTCGTCGGGATTGAAAATAATCGGGTGCCGTCTATTCATTCGTGTTCCAGACAAAAAAAGTGAGTTACGTATGAAACGAAATTTAATATTTGTATTACAACGAGCAGTTCGCTGTACGTGAACTATGTATAAGTTGTCTTGGAAATTTCATTTAACCTTAACCCAACATGCATACCTCCTCTTTTCCTGTTTTATAGCTTTATTGCTGTAAGATTGGACACTCGGCTGCAGAGAATGAAGTAGGAGTTACGTAAGATAAGTGCGCGTGGCGTCCATGTTGGTATTATCAGGCACTGTCTCTATCGGTAACAACTCAAAACCATTGGTTGCTTACTTCAGACGTAAAACACTTACTTCACTACAACTTGCTCTAGTGGAAATTAAACGAATGTGTGGTGTATACACTGAGTTATCGTTGGTAATGTTGGTTGTATAGTTCAGTGGTTTTCAACTTGGGGTACGCGTACCCCCGGGGGTACGCGTACCCCCGGGGGTACGCGAAGACATCTTAGGGGGTACGTGAAATTTAAAAGAAAATATTATTTTATGATAAACACTGAATAATCAGTAATGTAATTTATTTTATTTAATTTATTTTAGATGTATATTATATACTATGTATAACTTGAATTATACAACAACTTTGGGGGTACAAAGTTGAAGAGAAATTATATCTGGGAGTACGCGAACAAAAAAGGTTGAATACCACTGGTATAGTTGGTAGGATTGTCACATCTAACTTATTTATACTATGCTGTATTTTGTAAACCAAGGAACAGTGAAACACCAGCAATGCAGGAACACGCCTTAATCGGCACGCTATACTTCTGCAGTGTATAAACATAATAATTTTACACCCGATAGTCTGTAACAAAGGACTGGGTTATATTTCTGTATCTCTCAAATTAAATTTAGCGAGTTGTTACCATTTCTGCAAATTTGGAGTCCAGAGAGCTTAAATGTTTATATTAAATAATATACAAATAATTGAAAATACTAATTGCAGTCCTTAGCGCATATGAAATTGAAAATATTTCGTGTAATCTGAAAATTTAGTCAGTCGTACGAAGACGCGGTAAAGTTTGAAAATACTTATATGTAACTGATGACTGATCGATAGGCAAGCCCGCAAGTCGGATGACTTAAAGGGTTGAAGATTTCTGTCGTCTTGGTAGAAGTTTAAACCACGGCGCTGTAACCCGGGTAAACTTTTATCAAGACTGCTCGGCACTACAACTCAGAAGACGTAACCTCAAACCTTACAACCTAAAGGGTTGTTCCGAGATTCTTAACACGCGCCCTTAAATTTCAGGAATACTGTTCTGCATTTATTTTCCAGAGGATTGCATATTTGTAGGTGTGACGGAAGGCTGTAATTATGCATCCCCATAACTGCGTAATTCTCATCATTACATGATGTAATTCAGGATGGTCTAAGATAACACGTTTTAGGTTTAAATTCCAATATCACATTTTCAATTGCCAGGGGGAACATACGAAGAATTATCCGATTCTCATTTATATTTCAGTGTCGAATGTGGTGGAGTCCCAGGACTGTAATAAGACTGAGGAGCTGACGAAATGCGTGAACCCTATCAAAGTTCTCAAGGATGATAACGAATTTGGATTCTCCATCAATAAGGAAGAACTGGACCGACTCTGCCCGTAAGTATCTTTTTTTTTTCCTAAGCATCAGGCCAACAGTGGTTATATGCATAAAATATAATTAAAAATATTCGTCACGTTTGTGGGTAATATTTTTGAGTTTCCCGTGGCAAACCTGTTAAAGTGATTACATGGCTACCATTGCCGTGGTATTTCTGTGAGGGAATTTTTGGTCTTACGATTAGCAACACTGAATAATGTGCCGTGTAGTCTTGTAAAAGTAGACATTTATCGTAGGGAAATTGGGTGAGAGGTTGTAAATTGGTATTATCTGGCTCAGGATAGAGACACATTGCAAGCTGTTGTGAACACGGTAATTAAACTTCGAGTTTTGTGAGAAAAGGGAACGTCTTGATTAGCTGAGCGAATGTCAGGACTGTACAGACTCAGATACTGAGATAGGGGAGTACCGGCCACACACGATTCAAAATTAATTTTTCCAGACTATTCTTTTCGCATAGATTGTACACCAAAAATTTTATTTAGTATATTCATAGATTCTGACGAACAAACATGAACTCCAGATCACGTCCACATTTTATTCGCTTTGTTAAGAAACGCATAAGAAACAGTTAAATGCGTAAATATATTTTTCTTTATATCGTGTCATTCACATTGATTTATCCAGGGTTAGAACGACAAAACACCATCACCGGAAATGTCCATAGAACTGAAATGCTGATTGATTCAGCGTGTTAGTTCTGGAAATAGTAAGATACGAGGTGCGATCGGAAAGTTTCAAGACTGCGCCTATAAAAACCCGTACACTTATCTCAGGTATTAAATTCGTCCATTACCCTCGAAGTAGTTCCCCTGAAGTGAACACAACTATCCCAGCGCCGCTGCCAAGCCTGGAAGCATCCCTGGAAATCTTTCTTTGTCAGCCTGTCAAGCACCATCTGCGATTCTGCCTGAATCTCTTCTATCGTCTCAAATCTCCTTTCCTTTAGCTGAATTTTCATCTTTGGGAAGAGGAAGAAGTCACACGGAGCTTAGAAAGGAAGTTGGGGTCGGTTCTTGCAAGATCTTTGAGCTCCTGACAAACGAGAAGTCGATTCTGCTTCTGGTGCTCAGACAGGAGCCTTGGCACAAACTTGGCTGCGATGCGTCGCATGTGGGGGTCTTCCTTTAGAATCAGCTGACCGGTCCCATAGCCTATCCCAACAATGTCGACCAAGTCGTTGATGGTACGACGTCGATCTTCGTAACATTTTCGGGCGTTGTGCTCGGAGATGGTCGTCCAGAACGCTCGTCATCATCGCCAGGGGTTCGGCCATTTTTAAAACGTGAATGCCACCCAAAAGTTTGTGCACGACCCATTGCGGACTCCCCAAATGCTTGCTTTAGCATTTCATAGGTTTCCGTAGCCGTTTTGGCGAGTCTTTGGCAAAATTTGATGCACACGTCATTCCGAAATCGCAGGAGGGTCGGTGTAATGCACTACCAAAACGCCCGTAACTAAGAAACAAATGCTAATTCGATGATGCCGGCTGGCACACTGATACACTATGAATGTAGGCCGCACCCCCTAGCGGCAGAAGCTCGTACTACATCCGGTTCGCCCTGTATTGACACAGTCTTAAACTTTCCGATCGCACCTCGTAATTCTTGGTGTGCTTGAGCATAAATAATTGCTGGTTAGAGACCTATTTCCGACTTAAGGTAGAAAACATGTAATTCCCCCCATAGATGTAAATAATAATTCCGCTAATTAAATGTGGAGGTGGATGTTCGTTTCAGGACGCGTCCAACACATTTAATGAACTCTCTCTAGGGAAATGACACACACACACACACAATCATACAACCGTGTTCGAGTATGGAATTATTAATTTTTCGATAAAGGCCCGACATAATTCGCCTTTCCAGATTTGCAAACATTGCTTTAAAAAATGAAATCGAAGTTTTATTATTGAAAATTCCGCAGTAAAGCAAAAATATTGGCTACATGCATTTTTTTAGGTAGATTTGTATTTCCATTGAAACATTTTTGTTCTAAAAATTATGACGTCTTCTAGGAACTTTTGCCGTGTAGTCTTATAGCAGGAAGTTTACTGACGTTTCGGATGTGCTTACTGCCTCCATTATCAGAGCGATGGAATTTCAGTAGGCGTGAGTACCTCTGAAACGTCTTTTGATTTTTACAAGACTGCATGCTTCTGCGTTACAGAAGTTAGTAATTTTCATACTTGAAGCCGTATGAACGTGAACTCTCACATTTATCTTTTATTTTTGGTCTGAAATGGAGCGTATTAGAAATAAGTACTCCTTTATTTGGAGTATTTAAATATTATTAAAACGTGTTTTGGCTTTAAAATCTAATAATAGGATAGGCGTTAGCAGATGTAATGGAGTGTCACTGGATTTTAGATTTATGTACGGTAGACATTGATTTCGAAGAAAAATGTGTGTTATTTTCTGCTGGTTGGACAGGTCTCATCTACTTCAAATTATCTGCGGAATGACGTTCCTACATGACAGCCGCGCGCCGCGTACATGCGATACTCCTGTGATTGCATTTCGTGCTTTGCGAGACCCTCGGCTTCTGTTTGCTCTCCTGCGTATGGATATCCACACAGGAATTCTTTCTGATTGTTTATTTCACACATTGCTTCAACCGCAACGTTCCTCCGCCCTCTCTATAGAGTGGATGTCCGGTGCCTTCGAATTTTTTGTTATGCAGTCCCGCACAACAATCGCTATTCTCTTGCTTGAAAATATCAGCCTCTTCTTCTACTACAGCAGATGTTGTTCCTTCTTTATTTTCCTTTGCTTATGTATTATTTAGCGATTTATTCTTTCAGTGCCTTGTTCGAAACCTTCGTTTCTGTACGTGACTGATTTCCATTAGTTTTTACGAAATCTTTGTACAGTCAGACCGGCAACTGTCTCTGCTCGGTTAGTACACAGCATGCATTGCGGCAGCCCTGGTAATAAAGGCATAAAGCATCTCTGAAACGTCGGTAAACGTATACACCACACTGTACAGCGTAACAACCCGGAAGACAGCCATGTTCATACTCGCCGACGTGAGAATCTGAAGTCTCGCGTACAGTCATCCACGCAGACAACGAAATTGCGTTGTCCTGCTTTGTTTGTATTTATTATTTATTTATTTAGTGTTGTGTCTGACGACAGGTCCATATGAACAGGATCCTTCCATCCTTTTCTCGGACTGGGACCTGTTCATATACGTTCTTGGCAGATGATCCAGAAGTGGTTTGCCACTGCCTTCTTCTGTGTGTGAATGGAGTAATGGTTGGGATGCCACGGAGGAAAACCCCGGGTTGCCTAGACCACGGCCTTGCCCAACACAATGACGACAGGTCAGGTCCATATGAACAGGATCCTTCTTCCATCCTTTTCTCGGACTGGGACTTGTTCATATACGTTCTTGGCAGATGATCGAGAAGTGGTTTGCCATTGCCTTCTTCTGTGTGTGAATGGAGTAATTGTTGGGATGCCACGGAGGAAAACTCCGTGTTGCCTAGACCACGGCCTTGCCCAACACAAGTTATAAATTCGAACCCGAGACCCCAGGATTACAAGGCCAGCGTTCTAACAGCTAGACCACCATTTGTTTGTATACAGAACTGAAATTTATCTCAGTAGCAGCGCACGTGACTTTGTGTGGAGTCTTCGGTAATGACAACTTCTCGGAACACTGATAATTCGTCCCTCGAAATGAAAAGAGAGTCGAGCGAGGTTTTCCCCCACACATTTTCCTGGAAAAATCAAAATTCGAAAGGAATTGTATCTACAGGCATCACGTTCTGTAATAAGGATAAAATATGGCGGTAATACACAGCAGCCGCGTGGGATGGGTTTGGTTGGCAGTTCTGGGCTGTGGCCAAAACGACTCGAGAGCTCGATTACTAGGATGCGAGAGACGAGAAAATCGACGTTAATAGTCTCCGGTTTGTCAGTGATGAAACACTTTATATACGTCTCGATTATGACTTCGTATCGACTCATTGTGTAACCGAACGTACTGTACGCAGGCCACTGATGGCCCGTCTTTGCTTCGTGTTGGTCATTAGAAAATGAACTAATTGCAGTTTTGTTTCTGTCGATAATAAGGACAAGTGACAATATCGTAGGATATTTAATGACTCTGTATCAAGAACAGAGTCTTGTAGCTTCGGATGTGACGTATCGTCCATTCCGCGTGGTAAATTTGTAAGGCAGACATTAAGCACTGTTAATTTCATATGTGATACTTGTGTTGGGCAAGGCCGTGGTCTAGGCAACACGGAGTTTTCCTCCGGGGGCTTCCCCGGTTTCTCCGTGGCATCCCATTCACACACAGAAGAAGGCAATGGCAAACCACTTCTGGATCATCTGCCAAGAACGTATATGAACAGGTCCCAGTCCGAGAAAAGGATGGAAGGATCCTGTTCATATGGACCTGTCGTCAGACAGAACACTAAATAAATAATAAAAACTTTGCCAGCTGTTTCCCTGACGTTTGGGGGAAACTAAGACAAATATTTTTCTTACGGCTTAGAATTAACCCTAGTGTAAAAGTCATTGGCATTTTATCGAGCTTAATATTCATCGTTCTAGTCTGAAGATGGAAGTTATATTTTATTTTCAAGTTTTGGTAACCAACTCCAAAAGCCACGACCCAGAATAAAAACGGTCCACGCGTGTTAGCTTGAATTGAAATTTTGAACAGAATGTCAAAACATTCTTAACTCAACCGCTCACATTAAATTTAGCATACAGTAACGTTCTACGACACATTTATAGCCACCGCGAAATCGGGTTTATATGAGGTATGAGATAAATATCCGATACTTATGGCAAATTAGACTGGGATTCTGTCTCCGGGTATGGTCATTGGCTACCTTGGCCTCTAAGCCTTTCACAAGGACCGAAGTCATAATGTACCATTCTTGTGTGGGCTCTTATTTTGTGGGATTTCCATATTGTCTGGGATAATGAAGATGATTTTTAGGGCCAGTACAGGGGATGTAGCATTCCTACAAATCTCTTAT